TTTACTTTCATATGAATTTAGTAAAAAGCTGTTATTTTGACATTACAAACAGACACGTCAATTTTATTTATTTGTATAGATTATTATAAATTATTTACAGAAAAATATTTTCGTCTGCTACGACAAGTTCAGAATTCTTTATTATTGAATTTAACTGTGTAAAAAATATCATTCTAATGAACAGGTTTTTTTTAAAATAAACTGTTGGGAAACAAGGAACGGGTACTATGAAACCGATTTTGTTTATTTTTTTTTGTAAATTAGATCAGCTACTTTGCAGTTTATGTGTTCTTTTTTAAAGCAACAACGAAAAATTTGTTTCAACACCCTCAATAACTATGAAAATGACACCCATGGCCAAAAAATTGATACATATTGCAGCCGCCATCTTGGATTTACATTTCAACAGCACTATCGGCTTCAACATACTCAAAAACTATGAAAATGACACCCATGGCGAAAAAATTGATACCTATTGCAGCCGCCATCTTGGATTTACATTTCAACAGCACTATCGACTTCAATATACTCAAAAACTATGAAAATGACACCCATGACGAAAAAATTGATACCTATTGCAGCCGCCATCTTGGATTTATATTTCGACAGCACTATCGGTTTCAACACCCTCGAAAACCATGAAAATGACACCCATGTTTTTTATTAGTGATCGATGCACCCATGACGAAAAACTTGATACCTATTGCAGCCGCCATTTTGAATTTACACTTCAACCAGCACTATCGGCTTCAACATACTCAAAAACTATGAAAATGACACCCATGACGAAAAAGTGATACCTATTGCAGCCGCCATCTTAGATTTATATTTCGACAGCACTATGGACTTCAACACCCTCGAAACCCATGAAAATAGCACCCACGACGAAAAAAACTATAACTATTGCAGCCGCCATCTTGGATTTACTTTTTGTTACCACTATTACACTATCAGCTTTAAATAGCCTCAAAACCGCCGCATTCTGGATGTACAAATAAGTTCACGAATTTTTATGATCGATCACACGTACTTATAATTCGATAACGATTATAAAAATGACAATAAAAATCATTTTTACCTTTCAAAATCAGCAGGAAGCTTAAAATAAGATACTCCGGTTTTGATGAAGTCGAGTTCAAACAGCTATATACTACGCAATACGTTCGTGGCATTTTTAGTCTTGAGGCGACACTCGCTACAGACAGCACCGCGACGAGCGCTTAGAAGTCTCGTCGTTGCGTATGTTTGTGTGAGTGTGCCGTTTCGAGCGTTTGTAGGAAGTTTCCGTACTGTTCCTACTATATATTTACTGTGGCTTGACGTACGTCACTTGACGTACGTTAGTGACGAACATCTAGCCACGCGTGAGTGTCTCTAAATATATATATATAAACTCTAAATAAATATATATATACTTTTTGATCTAGCTATAGGACAGTTATTATACTCTTTGGATCTAGCCTACTCATTGTCGTTTTGCATCGTGTATTGTGCATGACCTTAGCGTGACGTACATCAAGATGGACCGTGTATAAGACGTTTAAGGGAAAAACTACAACACATCCAACCATAAACACTTATTAATAAAATTACCTATTGAACCCTTTTTACTGGAAACGAGGCATTCCATAAGGATGCCCAAGGGAAAATCGATATATATCGAATCGATATTTTCAAACAGTATCGATTTATATCGCGTGATAAATATCGATATATCGTCATCATTTTCATGATGTAAGGATAAGGCTTAAAATTCAGTATTGGTGACGATTGGACGACGAAAAACACACGACAACCACACATGAATGCTTTTGTAGCTCCTTTTGTTGTTTCATGTTTTGTCCATTAATACAACATTTTTAAATATATCGAAATTGACACGTATTCGATGCTCTAAAATAAATATCGATATTTCGATATATTGATATTTTTTGCCCAAGCATAGCATCCCATCTTTCCTAACGGATGACAACGCATCTGAATTTCGATCCGTAATCAAGGTTAGATATAGTTTTCTATGGGCTACAGCTCTCTCTCTTTGCACTTTCTCTTTTATATTGTCAATCTATTCTAACGTCAGTTTATAGTAAATCTATGTCTTTATCACTTTCGATAATTCTTTGTAGTTGAACTTAGTACTACTTAGTACTATTATTTATTCTGTAGTAGTAGGTAGTGGGCACAAACTAACTAGAAACAGTGTAGTGGGCTACTTGAAATAACAGTTACAGCAATCTGTTCTAAAATCATAAGCTGTTATCTTGTTTCGATAGCAACCGTCTACAAACTGAGTCAGTCCCTGTTAGATCTGTTCAAGCGTAAGCATTATATAAGTCTGTGATCTTTTTTGTTCCCGTTGATCTTAATGTGAAGTTGTAATGTTAATATTATACAAGAAAGTTATTACTTACGAGTAGCTTAATTTTATTTGTTTTGGTAACATCTTAATTTATACAGGGTCATTTTTAATTTACTAAATACCTTTTGGGAATATATTGGTTGCATCATTATAAACAATTTTACCGAGATCACTTTTTACAGAGTATAATGAATTTACAAAAAAAAACACTTTTAATATTTTGTTGTCATGTCTGACTCCTTTTAAGTCTGTATTTTGTACTACTTAAACAATTTCAGAATAAATAGTCAAAGAAAATGCCTTTTTTATTTTACAACTTCATATCAGTATAGTGTTTGTCATAGTGTTGAAATCTTTATACATAATTAAATAAGCAAATAACATTCAAAAAATGACAAATATTAAAATTTATAATAAGTAATTATAAAGTATGACATATAAAGTATGATTTTCAACGTTCACAATATAAATCTCATAACGGCAGCACAAGCGTCGCGGGCGCATCAGAGGCGACACTGACGAACATAGGTAAATAAATATGTAGTAAGCTACTGATCATATTAGTCTGTGGCTACTGACGAGTGACGACACAGGCAATTAGGTATAGTTTAAATTAGTAAGCACCGTTTCATACACCCTTCCACCCCTATCTCATCACGCACTTTCTTTTGCTAATACTAGGACTATTACCGTTTAGAAAATCCAATTAAAATATTTTTACTTTTCTATGAAAAAAAATGAAGAGATATATTTTTTTATTACAGATATTGTTGTTATGATGTAAATAATATATTCCCGAAAATTCTTCTGTAAATTTAAAATGATCTTGTATAATGAATTGCATCAGTTATTACTTTACGTGGTAGAGCCATGCTGCAGCTATATTACTGGTATAGTTGTAGCACGAATGGGTCGGCTCGACCGGGGAAGGACCACGTTCTCACAGAATACTAGCGTAAAATCGCAGCATAACGCTGCTGTGTTTCGTATGGTGAGTGTAGAGAACCGGAGACCCTTTTTTACTGGAAATGAGGCATTCCATCTTGGTCCTCACGGCTGACAACGCATCTGCATTTTAATTCGTTAACGAGGATAGATGTAGATGTCTATGGGCCACAGCAACCACTTACCCTTAGGTAGACTGTGTGCTCGTTTGTCACCCTAATTTTATATAAAAAAAATATTATTTTATAGATTTATTTAAGTATTCCGATTAGTAATTTGACGGCTCCGTGGCACAGTGGCTTAGCAATGAGTTGTTGCGCTGGGGGCCGTGGGTTCGAATTCCGCACGGAACAAGTATTTGTATGGTCTACAAATAATTTTTCTGGGTCTGGATGTTTGTCCTCGTGCAATTTATGTTTGAAAACTGCCTCCCGACACAGGAGAAAATCCTAGTGTGGGGGTAACCTTTTTTAAAAAGAAAAAAAGAAAAAGTAATTATTAGTGTAGGTAATGTTAGTATATACTAGAATATTTGTTTCCGAATGTAATAACAGGTATTTTACTATTCATACTATTTATCTTAGGTAACCTCCCTAAGCAAAAAGAAATAAGAGCTCATTCCAAGCTCTTCCAGCCATGTTATCGAACATTAGTAGCTCGTTGAACAGTAACAGGTAAATAAGACACAACAGTTTTATTAAATAAAAACACAATAATACAATATATTGCTCATATTTTATTATTTTTGCAACGACCTAGAATTGTTATAAAAAATAATAGAAGCTAAATTGAAAGCTTAGTCATCAGTTACATTAGTCGAATACTAAAGCTTAGAAAATTTCAATCTCTACGCCTTAAATTCTGTTTCTCTTTCGGAATTTATTAACAGGAAATATCTGATCTATATGACGTCTCATCATCACCCCGAACGCGCGTATTTGTTCTCTATCCTTCCTGAGGAAAAGACTTTTTCAATAAATGTTATGCAATTCTATTATTCTGGCAGTCTAGTTCTATATCTATCTGTCTAGTAGTATATATCAAGTTCCAAGATATTATTTATAAATACCAATTGTTTTATCCTGTTACGATAAATATGCCCCATTCCTAGTTTCCACTTGGACTTTGATCAGTGAGTTTAAAAACTGAAACTAATCCAAAAAATAAAAAAGTTGGTATGTAGGTATGCTAATATGCTTCAGTATGCTTTGATTTGACCATTGTCCAAAGAGTATAATAAGTACTCTTGTCTCTCATTCACACTCACCGACTTCTAGTGGATTCTATCATTCTACCGACTCATTATCATTCTCACAGAGTATCATTTTATACATTTATAATTCTCACAATTCCAATAAATAGTAAATAGTGCGTGAGTGTTTATAGTGTAGTAGTTTGTGTTATTGTTTTAATTGCTGCACCACTTTATAATTTGTGTCTCTACGGTTTAACCACAGAAATTGATTATATAGACAGGTATATAATCAAAGCAAAGAACACTATTACTCCGTTTTAACTTTTAACACGAGGAAAATTAATTAATTATTAAGAGCATTTATCTGTCATTTGCTCATTTGCATGCTTATGTTGATACTTCAAGACAGATGTAAAATTCAATTTCTAATAATTTTATGTATACTTGTTTGTTTAGTTTTTTGATAAATTCATTACATAAACGTATTATCTACCGTAGAGAATGGATCAATTGCGGTTTGATGGAAGAGTTGCTATTGTTACCGGTGCTGGAGGTGGATTAGGCAAGGCTTATGCGTTACTATTGGCGTCAAGAGGAGCTAAAGTTGTGATCAATGATCTTGGTGGCGGCAGAGATGGGAGTGGCAAGTCAACATTTGCAGATAATGTTGTTCAGGAAATCAAGAGCAAAGGTAAAGTTGGAGAATTTACCCTACTATACATAATATGGTATTTAATTTGGCAGAAAAGTTTTCTAGTTGCAACTTTGTAACCATAAAACCGTGTCTCCACCAAAGTTTTGTTACCAACTGTTGTGTAGCCAACACGTGTTGGTAACAAATGTTTCTGTAATTACCTAGTGTCGGCAACAAAACTTAAAACAATGTCAGGAACCGTGTTTCCATTTTCGGCGGCAACATCAAAGGAATCTGTTTGTTGGATACATTTGTTACTTCGATGGAGATGCTTGTTGGAAGGACTGTAATGATGTTGATGATAATACCTATTATGGTCTTTTATTTTCTACTATAGCATAACCTCCCCTTTCATTGGTCTACATTGTATTGTAAAAGATAATCATTTGGATTTTAGTAATTTTTATAGTCTACTGGTTTATTATTCACTAATATATGGAATGTCGGTAGCCTATTAAGTTGAATTATAATATTGGCTCAGTGTGTATTGGGCCTCACAACTTGATCATAACCAAAGTGTGGTTTAACTTTGCATCATAAAAATATTTAAGACTAGCGATCCAACCGGCTTTGCACGTGTGATTTATGGATCTGGACAACAGCACCACCTACTGGGTCCAAATGTGAATCTAAACCGTTTTTATGTTTTAGTAAGACTAACGGATGGCAATCGATTTTTTTATATATAGATTTGATATAGTTTAGCTTGTTTAGGCATCAGCTGTATGCCATTACAATTGACTATTTTGCTAAATACAAAATTTATTATTTATAGCTGCCATTTTATGTGCTAAATTATTAACTTTGGTATTCCCCTTAAACATGCATACAAAATATGGAAAATAAGTTTTTTTCCTTAAAGATATGTTGTAGACATCCCTACACAATGTCTTTGAGTGTTTTTGCATAACCATTTGTAAACCTATATGTACATATTTTCAAAGACATCCAAATATCATTCCATCCTGCAATCTTGTGAATGATGGATTATGAAAAAGATTTTATTAGTGCAGTTTCTTGTTTAACCTGAGTTCCTTTCGATTATATAAATTATAATATGCTGTATGAAGCTGCGATTTGTTAAGAAGTCTTTAAGAAGTTCGTTGTTAAGAAGATTAATAGATTTTACAGATGTAGTAATAAGGGCTAATAATTTTCTGCTCACCAGATGTTGCTAGTTGACACTGAGGTAAAGTTTTTTTGTTACATAATGTCATTTAATTGAGAAGTAAGTTTTTAATAAAAGTTTATTAGTTTCTAGACTATACCTAATATTAATACAGTAAACAATATGTCAGTGGTTTGCTCTTTAACTCTTCAAAGCTCGAAAAATCTAATTGGATTTATTACTTGTACCCCTCTAAAGAGTATATAATAATTTAATTTAATTAAGGGACCCCTTAGAACAATAGATAAAGAGTATTCAGAACTTAAGAGTACAAATAAGCAAGGTATAGAGCGCGCGTATCGCTCAATGCCCATTATGCCAAGTGTAAAATTGATGCCTGTGCGTTATTATACTTAAGTTATTTATTTGATTATGTAAGTATTTATAAATATTAGGTAAGCGATAATTATAAGGTATGTTTTAGCTCAATAAAACATATGTACGGATTTATGAAACGATGTTTATTAATCAAACACAAAAATCTAATTAATTTACTCTCCCGTTAAAAAACATATTATATAGGGTTAGTGGGAACTCGACAACTTCCTGGCATAGCATGATAAGGGAGTCAAAATGCTACAAATTAGGCCAGGAATGAGAACCGTCAATTCACTCTAAATCTCTAGGTCAGAATTAAATAAAATACACACAATAATTTGTAGGAAAATATTTCATTAACAATTGCTGTATTTGTTTAATGGTAACTAAATTAGTCAGTACAAAGATAAATATTTTTATTTATGTTTATTTTTGTACTCGTATCAGTATTTTTGCATAATATGTCCTACTCGTATCAGTATTTTTGCATAATATGTCCTGTTCGTACCTACTATCATATTTCGCTGTCGTGGAAGTTGGGCATCAATACAATTTTCTAGAAATAAAATTAGTTATTCATCTAACTCATATCTACCTTGTACGGTACACTGACTGATCACCTAGGTTGGGTGAAATTCTTATATTTCAGAAAAAAATATTAGAAAGGTTAAAAAACAACCTGAGCTAAGACAAAACGCCGTTATCACTTCGCTGTTTTGTTTACATCTAAACGTGTCGTTGATCGGAATGAATGACCGGATTGGTCATCATCAGCTCCGAACACCGATAAATAAACCGAAGGATGTTTTTTCACAGATGATTTTTTAAATTGGCGGTGGACGACTTATAACTTAATACATCTTTACATTCATTACACTATGCTTAAAAGTTTTATTGTCTTATTCAAAATGGTGCCATATCACTCTACTGTTTTTACGGGCCGACGCCAAGATAGTTAATGTTTACACTATTTGACCACTTAAATACCTAAGTACCACTATTCCTGTTTATACTATTCACTATTAACACTTAGAACTTAATACTATGAATAATTATATTTTAGTTAATCTCTCAATTTAGAAAACTACTAAATACGTTTAACTTGAACTATGCAAAGCGCATTTCAATGGAGACTAAAAAAATAATGTCAACAAAATTCAAAAATCTGGCTACATATATTGACATGCATATTTCATATCTAAGCATTGTAATAGAGCTTACTTTTACAAAACATCGCCCACTTCGAGAGTCGAACACGTGCAGAAAAAGAGATAGCCGTCGAAACAAGTAGTGTGAAGAAAACGGAATGTTCACACACATCTGTTATCATAATCACAAAATTAAATTTAATTAATAGAATCAGGCGTTCTATTAATAAAATCGTGTCATCCGTGGCAACATAAAGTAGCCGCTTTTTATTGTTACATTAACCGTTTGTTCACTGTCCCATTAAGTAAAGAAAATTATTTAAAAGTACTTAATATAATTTATCAAATAGCGATCTCTAACGGTTTTTCAAAAAATCTCATTAACAATTTAATTAAAAAGAAACAAAAGCATGTTGTTCGCAACTCTCTGTACGCGGTTCAACCTCAAAGTGTTCATCGATATGTGAGCAGTTTGACCTACTTAGGCCCCATATCTGAAAAAGTAGCTAATACTCTTCGACAAAACGGCGTTTATGTGGCGTTCAAAACAAACAATATTCTTAGAAATATCTGTAATAATAAAAATAAGTTGGATATTCGTCAAAAGTCAGGTGTTTACAAACTTGTTTGTGACGAATGCCACGCCGTTTACGTGGGTCAGACTGGTCGCAATTTCGAGACACGTTATAAAGAGCATTTAGCCGCGTACAGGAATTGCAATCCCGATAAATCCCATTTTGCCAAACATCTTTGGGGCACTGGACACAACATAGCCAACGACCACTCCTTTAAAGTCTTACATACGTGTAATAAAGGGCTGCGGCTGTGTGTGCTGGAACAGTTAGAGATATTAAAAAGTAACAATAGTACCGTTGCATTGCTGAATGAACAAACAAATGTTACTAACTCACCTCTCTTAAATATCTTTAAGCCTGCTCTCTAATAATAGAGAGCCTCGCAATATGGTCGTTTGTCACCCTCACGGTGTTCGGCGATTGGTTACGTGGTTGGAGGGTGGGTGTTGCGCGGCGGTTTGTTTTTAATTTTACAAACGGCTGTATAAGTCCGGCGGTGATTGGTCGCATGTTTTATCGCATGACGCAGTCGCTCGCTCCTTAAGTAGAGAGCGGTTGCGTCAGCGGTCTGTATAAAAGGCACTTGTTTTGGCTCGCCGCTCACTTTAGCGGTTATCCACCGTAGAGTCTATATCACCTGAGGATGCCTCGTGTAGAGGCGAAACACGTGTCGTATTATCGTCAGTGGTGTGTCTTGCCTAGTGTAGTGGTGTTGGGAGTAGCGGTGCTGGGGTTAGTGGTGACGGGGATAGTGCACGCAATTGAGGGAGGGCGGGAGGTGCTCTTCATACTAGGTAAGACACATCATTTTATTTTATAACGCAGATATTTGCGAATTAAATTTTTCTAAAAGCTTTTATAAAATTAAATTTACCGATAGACAAGGACAGAGATAGGAAACGTCGTAGTTGTGCGAGCGAAATCGCGTTAGTTAATCGCGTATCGTGTCTCTCGCGCATGTTTGTATTATCTATCTCGCTCTCACAAACATGACGAAGTCAACAATAAACATCATTATAATTTTCAACAAAATAAAACTAATCGAAAAATCGATCGATGTCTTTGAGCGTGGCAAGTGGTTTTGATGATTGAAAATAGATGTCGCTGTTATTGCGCAGACACGGGTCTTGGTTTTTTGCACATTTTTAACTATTTTTTAAATTTTTCTACTTTTGTGAATATCTGTGGTTTGGTTTATTTGTTTTAATCTCATTAATACAAAATATAGCTAATAGTACAGAAAGAAGCATTAACCTTTACATTTTCCGAACAAATTAACTTCCCTGCTATGAAATCTGTCAAATATTATACCTCACTTTTAAGTGGCGCCGCCCTTGTAGCAAAAAAGTCGTGGATGCCCTCATTGCTACAGAGACAACAAGGTTCATGCTTTATGTGCTTTGATTTGTCAAAAAACTGATCTAGATCGGCATATGACAAATGTTATCAAAACTGTATATAGAAAATATCTTACACTCTCAGTGGCGGATTTACACATTTGCCGCCAGTAGGCTATTCTAATTTTGCCGCCCTTACCGATCTTCTACAATTCGATGCCCTAGTTCACAATCATATTAATTACAATTTTTTGTCAATGAAATTGTAACTTCACGATATGTGCATTATCGTTCTAATTGCACCACCCTTTTCTCGTCATTAATATAATTATTGTGAACTAGTAAATTGATGTGTCAGTTTCTAGATTATCTTTACAACTCATCGATTTAGTTAAGATTGCACAAGAAATCGCTTTTGGCTATATTTCTGAACTAACAAAAGCTCAATCATGTACTTCTAATAAGGCGGGGTAAGGTATGCCCTAATACTACTTAAACGTTAAACGCTGTTAAATAATTTTTATTGCGGCTACTTACAGTTTAAAAATAATATATTCAATTACAAGTAGAAAGTTTTAAAATACCTTTTTGCGTAATTTTCTATTCGCAATATAATCACCAATCATCGGATGAAATCTTGTTCATTAATTTTGAGTTCTGACTCTATGCACAAAATAGCTAAGGTGTTTACCTTTTCTTGACTTTAGGTAGTTTAGTCTACGAAGGGCTGTTTTCCGCAACTCCACGTCTAAGCGCATATTTTGCGCGTGGACAGCATTAATGCAATTATTCGAACTATGAAATCTCCCCGAAGAAGTTCAACAGTCCTTTGATATTGCAAGTAACTTCGGGGAGTGATCCCGGCATGCCGAGATGTTGACTTTAGGTAGATCTTAGATAATTTTTCAGCCATTTTTAGTAAGAAAAGCTTCTCGCTTTTAAAATTAAACACCCGAAAAATTTGTCACTGGTGTACATAAAACCATGTGGACTGTTTAGATAAACATTTTTAGAAACTCTGGTTCCGCAGGAACGAAGATCATTTTTGATTTTAATCATCTAGAATCTGGTTTCACCAAAATTCTTTCAAAAGAAAGGTGGCATTGAAAATGTACGAACTCTTGAACTAAGTCAGTCTCCAAATCATTAGGATACATTTCTTCTAAGAAAATGGCTTTTTTCTGTAAGGGTTGATGTTGTTGATTTTGGTCCGAAATCAAAAGTTTTTTTGAACCAATATCTACCGTTTTTCAAATTCAAATTCAATTACGAGTCTAGCAATGAGGACGAGAGATGTATTAGCCCTGAAAGTATCATTCGAAGTTATTTTCATTTCTTTATCAGGTATCTCATCATATATTTTTTTCCTTTCCGGTTGTATTTTCCCCCACGTCTTTTGCATACTGCTTCGACACGCTTAATTCGATCTTTTTTTCTTGAAAGTACTTAAAAATTTCTCGTTCAGCTACAAAGAACTGAAGAAGCGACAAGCTTCTGTGTAACATTCAGCAGCCGCAGTTGCCATTAAATTTTAAGAGAGAACATAGCAAGGAACGAAAAAAGCAAAAGGTGCTTGGCTTTGAATTTTAGCCTTTGTACACACACTAGACAGACATATTTGCGGCATTATCATAATACAGCAAGAAGTCTCTTCAGAACGTTTTTCCAATAGTAATTTTCCATAAAATTGTGCCAGAGAAATATTAGTACGTATTAGAAATCGCACCAGGATTCAACCGAGACAGCTTTTCTTTTGGTTTTGAAGTAAATACATCTATCTGTTTCGAACTCAATGCCAACACGCAGCTTACGCCTTCAACAGTACGATCCTGCTTTGACTCCCGCGGCGGCCGCGCGTCGCTCGTTCAGTCAATTCATCAGCATTTACATAGATATACTACATATGGCAGGTATTTCGATCAAACACACTTATCGAACGGTCATGTCATTCGTTTCCGCGCCACAACCAAACGCAAATTGTAGGAAAATTTATCAACCAAGTGGAAAATGAAAAAGTTTTAGCCCCAAGTTCGCCGCCCCTAAAATCTGCCGCCCTAGGCTTCAGCCTACTCAGCCTGCTGGTAAATCCGCCACTGTACATTCTACATAATATGTACAACTCTGTACATATTATGTAGATTTAACATTTGTTCTTAGGTATGTGAGTGACCAGCATTAGGGGTTTCATACAATGTGGATGTAGTGGAACTTGTTATGACCTTTTATAAGTCCATGCTCAGTGTTAGGAATGAACATAACATCATATTTCTTGAAGAAGAATTAATCTTTAAATAATAATATTAATATTTTATCCTTGATGCAAAAAAGAAAAAATGCATATATATTATGTGATTTTATATAGTAAATATATTAATAATTATAATATATTTACTATTTATTTAAATGCAAAATATCCTAGTACAGACAGAATGTATAATATTATGTATATTATACATCCTGTCTGTACTGGGATATTTTGCATTTAAATTGTGTCTGAGTCAAGTCAATGACTGCCCTTATGACCTCCACATAAATCTCATTATCATTAGATATTATACCTTCTTTACATTTGCTTGGAAAATAAATATCTATTTAAGAACATACTTATTGATTGAGTTGTAGTATTGTAATATTTATTACATACCTACACTATTTTGCAAAAAATGGACAACTATGATTTCAAACTGTATCAAAGTTTTATTACACAGATGATTTTAATGTTTTTCATTTTCCAAAATGAGGTCAGAATACTACGCTCTAAACTAGATAAAAATACATTCATTATCTAAAAAATGTATGATTGTTACCGTGATATGACACATTAACAAGTATTTATATGCTTCATTAAAATTTGACAAGCAAAATTTTGTGGTGTTTTTTTATTTGATAAAATGAAATTTAATTTATTGTAATATCTTGGCTTTCCTTTGTCTTGATTATACCTTGTATCCCTTGGGGAATTGCTCAGAGATCTTTTTAAACAAATTAATATCTATTTTATTATAATCTCTATTTTATCAACTATTATACTTGATAAAATTATTTATGTTATTAGAATCTATATTATTACTTTAAAAAAAAAAGTGATGTCCATAATTGTAATATGCATAATAAATATAAACTGGCTGTTCCAAAAGTACAAGTCTCCTAAAAGTAGCAGCTCATAGTACATCATCAGGTTTTAGTTGGTGTCAATCCAGCATCCCATCTGTGTGCTTAGGCATTTTGAAATTTTTGAAAGAAAACATGTCCCTACTATTACGACCTATTTCTCCGATGGTGGAAGGAAGAGGGAGGAATTAAATTATGCAATTCCTGTGCACACTTTTCACTCATAATGTTGTGAAAAATGTAGTGATTTACAGGAAATATTATTAATTTGTTGTAAATTCTTTTCGATTTGCCATGTATGGTGCAACACATTGTAATTAAAAGACAAATGATTAGTGTAACATTCCATTCATAACTGCCTTAACTAACTTGATAAATCACAGTATGAGTACATAAATCATATGGTATAACTGTTATTACAACCCTTCACAAGTCCACTGCTGAACATAGGCCTCCCCCAAGGAACGTCACAAAGCACTGTTCTAAGCCACCTGCATCCATCGACTTCCTGCATGTCTTACCAGGTCGTCACTCCATCTAGTGGGGGGACGCCCTACACTTCCTTCGCCGGTACGAGGCTGCCACTCGTGAACCCTTTTTCCCCCATCGGTTGTCTTTTCTTCAAGCTATATTGCCACTTCAGCTCACTAATCCATTGGGCTATATCGGTCACTCTGGTTCTATTGCGGATATCCTCATTTCTAAACTTCTAACTTCTAAATTTATCATGCAGAGAAACCCCAAGTATAGCCCTCTCCAAAACACGCTGAGCGACCTTGAGCTTCCTCATACGGCCAGCAGTGAAGGACCACATATAACATATACTATTGATGAACTCCAACTATTCCACTGATTCTTATGTGCAGATAAGGTTTCCGGTATGAATAAGTTGTGAATGTCTCTGTATCTCAGACATTGCTTCAAGCATAATAATGAGTATTGTAGTTCAGCGTTTGGGTGCATGTTTTAAGTTTTATAGTGCAAAAGCAACCAAAGTTTGAATACTTAAACCTGTTTTTCCATCCAATTACAATGTGGGTGTGTTTAAGGCAAGAGTGAATTACCATCTTTGGCTGCATCACTACTTACCAGCAGATGGGATAGTAGTCTAGGACTGGCTAAGAATAGTTACTCTACATGCATATCTTTAACAACTTTAACCCTCTCACTGTTCCATGCACTACATATATGTCATTGCTATTGTCTTACTAATGTATCTGAAAACCGAACAGTGAAAGTGTTAACTTAAAATTTTGTCTGTTAATTAGGAATGCAGTCCCCGTAAGTGTGATTTTTTAACATGGTGTGTTTCACTTTCAGTTTTATTCCCATTACAAAATAATAATAATATTATCTTGTTTGTAGGTGGCATAGCTGTGGCCGATTACCACTCTGTTGTTGAGGGAGAGAAAATTATAAAAACAGCTATTGATAACTTTGGACGTATTGATATCCTTATCAATAATGCGGGTATCCTCCGAGATAAGAGCTTTGGAAAAATGACAGAACAGGTAAATGAGTGACGAAAATTAATAATATGTAGTGTCGTGGCTTTGTAAGAATATCCACTACGCCATATCATCATAGAAACATATCATCCTATGAGTATCCTAAGAGGCAATAGAGTAAAACTGAAATAGAAATAAATCATAAAAAACTACAGTTGCCAAACTTCCTGCCAAACGTGGCAACATTGACGAAATCCGCCTATGAGGCAATCTATGGGGGAGACCCATGTTCAACAGTGAATTTTATAGGCTGTAATGGAAAATTAATTATTCTAGACATTAGTATTTGGGAATTAATGTTTGTTAAGTTCTATGTGATTGCTGCATAAGGAAACATAATATGCAACGGAAGGAGGGTAGGTACATACATTTTTAAGGTAAACAGTAAATGGGATTTTTAAGCATCTAGATACTAAGTGATTTTAGGTACGATTCAGGTCTTTTAAAAACCGACTTCAAAAATAATGAGCAAGAGGTTTACAATTCGTCGGAATCTTTTTTTATGTATGTACACTGATTACAAACCGATTTGGAAAATTCTTTTTTTGTTTCAAAGGGCAAAGAAATACTTCCCCAGTAGTCCTATTTAAATTTTATCGAAATTGGTCAAGCAATTTTTAACAAATCAACAATAAATTATATTTATATTAAATTCGGTACAAAATTTTTAATTTTACCATTCGTTAGATTAAGTTAAAACTTATCATTTATGGTGAGTTTCTTTGTCAATATAAGCTATACATCTATACATCTATACAAATAAATAAAATTGAAGTGTCTGTTTGTAATGTCAAAATTATAGCTTTTTACTAAATGCATATGAAAGTATATACGGTACTAATAACAAAAATACTATTTTTAAAGTTTTTGTCTGTCTGTCTGTTTGTTCCGGCTAATCTCCGAAACCGTTGGACCGATTTTGACGGGATTTTCACTGGCAGATAGCTGATGTCACAAGGAGTAACTTAGGCTACTTTTATTTTAGAAAAAGAATTAGGGTTCCGCGCAAAAAAATTAAAACCCCAAATAACACGCGGGCGAGGTCGCGGGGAACAGCTAGTATATTATATGAGTCATATATTGAAAACAGCTTTAGGTGATTAAGCTCAAAACTGAATGGAAATGCTTTTTTATTTATGATTAATGAGTATCGTTGATTTTTTGAATAAATGCCTAAAAATTTATCATTATAATATAATAGTGTTGGTGGTCCACTGACGACCTTTCTATGAGGCTTATTTAAAAAATACCATTTACTATGAAATATGCTAAGTTTCACTCTGAATAATTGTTATATTTTCATCTTAGGACTGGGATCTTGTTCATGCTGTACATTTGAAAGGTGCATTTAAAACCACACAAGCAGCCTGGGAGATCTTCAGGAAACAGAAATATGGTCGGGTGGTAATGACATCCAGTAATGCTGGATTGTTTGGAAACTTTGGCCAAGCCAACTACAGGTTATTTTTTTATTATTTTGCATTACTTTGTTGTAATTATTTAAAATTTAATATTTTAGGGTTCCGTACCCGAAGGGTAATCATCGTGACCCTATATTACTAACTAAGCCTACACTGTCAGTCAATCCGTCCGTCCCTCCCTCTCTTTCAGCAGGCATGATCTGTAATAGGCAGACAGTTGAAATTTTCGCAGAATGTGTATTTCTGTTGTATTTTTATAAAAATAAATTAAAAATAAAAGAGCGCTCCCCTACTAGAGACGTGTGTGGTGGTATGGAACCCTTCATGCGCGAGTCCGACTCGCACATGGCCGGTTTTTTAAATAGGTGCATAAGTCGACACCTAACTAAAAGCGAATTTTATATAGATAAGTAAATTATAGTACATTTACTTTATATTAAACATAATTTTAAAATTAGTTCACACACCTTAATTATAAGTGTTGGTAACTAATAAAGTATTTTTATATTGCAGTGCAGCGAAAATGGGTCTGGTCGGTTTAGCTAATACTCTAGCAATTGAGGGTGCCAAGTATAATATCAAAGTGAACACAATTGTACCAACAGCCGCCTCTCGTCTCACCGAAGACATTTTGCCTCCTGAAATGTTCCAGGCCATGAAACCTGATCTTATTGCTCCCGTTGTTGTGAGTTTGTAATGTATTATATTAACTAAAACAATGACATAATGTGCCATTGTTTTATTGTTTCCCTGTAATGTATACATTTTTCCCAACATCATTTAAGTCTTAATCACCTTATTAATGACTTTATAATTAACTTTACAAGGAAAATTAATAACAAATCAAATATGGCGTATGGCGGCTAACCATTTATAATTTTGAGGGAGAAATTTGTAATTCTTGTTTACTAGTGCACCATATGTGTATATCGTTATCAGGCCAAAAATGATAACTCGGTAGCGTTTTCTGCTCTTGTGGAACCTGTTTCAAATCTAATTATTCATTAAATGAATTTTGGGGTGGAGCTATCGCTTCTGCTGTGGGGAAGTGAACTCGAGGGACATTGTATCACTGCTATAGCGGTAGCTAAGTAGATAATGCCGAATGAGGAATTTTTTTATAGGAAGTTAACATAAACCTACTCTATTCTTTCTATTTCTAGCTTCTAACTTATAGTGTCTAACTTATAGTTAGACACTAAGTTAGAAGCTAGAAATATCAAGGATATAAAATAAAATATTTTGTATTATTTATTATAACAATGAATTTCTTTTCATTTATGAGTGTATCTGTTTTCATTTAAACACTGACTCTACTACTCATACTGCCTACAAAATTTAATATGAGCAGCTGTTAAAACTGAAAACGAAAGACGAAGCATAAAAATGATGCTTATGTGGAAGGTGTCGAGTTGTCCGTTTGCTTCCTCTTTCAAAAGAAAGTTGTCCATATTACTGAATATTATAATTTATAGTACTGTACTCAGTAGTTGCCTGTGTGATGGCGGTTGAAGAAAATCCATTACCCCAATTTATATTGTGTCCTGCCCCGGAGTTGTAAGTGACACACCTTTGAGAAATGTTAGAAAAATCTCATAGCTTGCACATATTTAAGCATATATTGTTGTTAAGCATGGCAATTTAGGCAAATTCTTCTCACAAGGGAGAAACCCATGTCCAGCTGTGGACTTTTCGAGACTGATGAAGATGATGAAGAAGATTGTTTATAGATATTAATAACATATTTAAAAAAATTGTTTATCATAAAATAAGATTGTTTATTTCTTATGTTTCTAGGCATATATGGTACATGAATCGTTCCCTGACAGTGGTATTATTATCGATTCCACTTTGGGATACGCCACAAAAACGCATTTAGTGCGGTCAAGTGGCACTCCTCTCAGGTATGATAGTCAAAAATATTTTATGCATAAGTAAGTTTTAACTAGTCCACACAACAGAGAATTGTAATGTACGTTTAGAATAAGTGATTTGTTATGTAATAAACCATACTAAACGGTTTGCTATGTCGTCCATCATGCATACAGCAAAGGAGTGTAATAATTTACCAGCATATGTGTTTCCATCCGCTTATAGGGTGTCTTCGAGACAAGAGTGAATAGGCTTTTGTTAAGTCTGTGTGCTTCACCATCTTAGGCTACATCACCACTTACCATCAGGTAGGGTTGTAGTTAAGTGTTGGCTTAGAATAATATTTAAAAAAAAAGTATAATATAAATCAATATTATAGTTAGTACTGTTTTCACTGTCAAAGACTAAAATAGAATGCCTGGCAATTTGTAATCATACTGGTTATTTTACCATTTAAAATAGGAACCCAACAGGATTTTCGTTGCTGCTTCATTTCAGAAATAGATAGTAGAGCTATTTAGATGAACCCCTATGCAGAAAAGTTGACATCATAAAGTGAAATTTTTGGTGGTATCATGATTTATATATCATAGTTAAGTTAGTTTGGTTTACGACGGGCTATTTTCCGCAACTCAACGTCGCGTGTATTTTGCGTGTGGCCAGAAATAACATGATTATTTGAACCATGAAAGCAGCTCGAAGAAGCTCGGCAGTCCCTTGATATTGTCCCACCTCGGGGAGTGATTTCGGTGTGCCAAAATGTTTAGTCCTGTATGTAGAGCAGCCTCTGAACATGCCATCAACACGTGGGCCGCCGTTTCCTCCTCCCTCATACATGGTCTATGCAGGGGACTGTCTGTAACACCTATGGTATATAAATGTTTGTTAAAAGAGCTGTGTCCTGTAATAGCACTTGTTGCAATCCCTGATTTGTGGATTGTTCAATCTCATTAAGACCTTGGTTAAACGACTGTTTATTACTATCAGGGCCTCCCTAGCTTGCCTACAGTCTTCTAGATTTTTCCAAAGCTGAGCGTCTTGATTAGTGAAAATCTTACGTACCAGTGAACGAACCTTAACCAAAGGAATCGGTATGATCGGTTCCGGCCCTATGGCGACCAGAGTCGATCCTCCCCTGGCCAGTTCGTCTGCTGCGTCGTTGCCCCTAGATCTACGGTGTTCCACTGTTGTTTGTTAGTATTGTAGTCACATTGTGTTTACATTATATAGGCCCCGAGTTCACCACATTGCAACTCTAGAGCCTGTAGTACCGCCATGCTGGCGGTCAGTATTCTGATGGTGGTCAGTATTCTGATAGTGAAGTCCTTTATCTTCATGGCATTTATTTATAGTATATGTATATGTTATATTATATGGCCAATAGTTTATGTACGTGGTAACTATTTCTTTTTTGCATTTTCTTGTGTTGCATAGATATTCAACTAAAACCAATGATTTGATGATCTTAGTAGAGCAGCCATATTGTAATCATTTTTGAAATATCTATCATACATATTTATTTGCAGAAAAAAACCTACGGATCTTGTTACAATTGAGACTGTAAAAGAGGCTTGGCCTCAGGTAGTTAACATGAAAAATGCATATCACCTGGATAAGATAGCTGAGGTCACTGTGGATTTAGTGGAGAAACTCCAGGTGAGGGCAACTAAATACTAACAAATTAAATCATGTCATCTAGAATAAATTCATTTTAACGTTACAGCCTATGTACGTCCCACTGCTGAGCAGAGATCTCCACTCATTTCTGCGAGGGTTTTGGCCCTTTGACTAACTAGTCTGACTTGCTACTTCAATGCGTGTTAGCGGACGTCATTTCAAAATATTTTTATTTCGCATACATGCATATTTCTTCACGTTATTTTGCCTCACCGTAGAGCACATTCTAAATCAGCATTTAACATTTCAATTAATCATTTAACTGGTGCCAGCGAATCCGAGTGGCCTGTGTAATTGACGACGAACTCAAGAACTAAGCTCCTGAGCTACCACGGTTATTTTTATTACTTGAAACCGTTGAAATGCTTTCAAAGAGTACTGAAAAGTTAGCTTATAATTTATAATTCTCGTATACAGGACTTTGAAGAACAAAGTAGATTGGATAGTGAGAAAGAAGCCTACTGGAGTACTTACACATACAATTCTAAGGATTTGGTGCTGTATGCACTTGGGAGTAAGTGGAAATTTATTACTGATTATGTTTCAGAGATGAAAAAGAATATAAAAAAAATATTGCACTTGAATAATTCCTACTGGCATTGTTGTGTGCGCGTTTTACACAATTACACTGTTGAACGACACTGATAATAAATGTTAAAAAAAATAAAAAAATAATACTATGAGATTAAAACCAATAAAGCCCTTTTAGATGGGGTGAAACCATATATAAATGCCAATAATAATAATGTCATCCAGACAAATTTCGGTCACGGTGCCCAGTCTCAACAGAGGCTAGGCATCTGCGCAGGACAGGATTATAGTGCCCGGGTGTGTGCGCAAGCATAGGTGCACTCTATTTCCTTACTCTCATAGTCCGATGTGACTGTAATCTGACACGACTGGATAGAGATCAGGCGTAGGAACAAACGCTTTACGTGCTCTTCGAAACACCTCCAACTTCCTGACTCCGGGCTGCTATTGAGTATTTCTCGACAGAAAAATTAAATATATTTATATATTTAAATTCAAGATATTTTAGGCCGACACGGATTCAAACCCGGGTCGTCATTATCAGCAATCGCGTTTACGACCACTATACTAATGAGACAGTCAAAACGTAATTTTTTATTAATCCTTGTGTATCAAGACGTCACTCATATCTCATCACACACTACTTCGATCGTGATTTCATAGCAAATATAAGCGGTTAAGATTTTTTTAAATATAATTTTCGTGTGAACCATTGTCTTCTCTATAAAATAAAATATAAGCTATGTCTATATACACACATATAAATCAAGTGTTTGTAATATCGAATTAACTGCCTTTTATGTGCTGAGGGGGATATTTGCATGGCATTGAGACATGAATAACGTTTTTAAAACTTGTTTATTGTTTTTGAAAATTGTCTAATGAAACTTCACGAACAGAGAAAGAGCAATGCCACGAGTGGTCAAGACTATATTTTCTGCCGACTTCCAAAAAGGAGACGGTACTCAATTCGACTGTATGTTTTTTTTATGTGTATCTTTTTACTGGGTGAACCGATTTCGATGTTTCTTTTTTATTTGAAAGCTGACACTTCTCGTGTGGTCCCATATGAATTTATTCAAGGTCAGACCAATAGTTATTGAGTTATTCTTAATAACTTATATTGAAGTCGGCTGTACAAAATTTTTAATTTTTAATTATTTCTGAAAAACTTGAAAATGTTTTTTGAAAAATTGAGAAATTAAATGGTCTTTGATGATTATCTTAAACCTGAATAACGCTACATTAATAGATCCTACCCAGACTAAATGTATGAAGTAATAAGAAAGAACATTAAAAAAAGTACAAAGTTGTGTATTTCACACTTTTAATATCTATTGCACACGTCGGTATTAAAAACGATTTATCGTTGTGTTTATAATATTTTATCATAAAATATCAACCGAACGTTACATAGCGACGTATCAGAGATCTAACGGCAGGTTTGTTGAGTTCACTGGTGGGTTATTGATGTCAAGGGTACAGAAACAATGAACCTCGAACACTTAAATAACAATGCGGTGATTAAATTTTATAAACTATACATACATATTTATTTACCAAAACAAATAAAACTACGTCAACAAATACTTCGATAAAAATTATTCTCTTGGTAATACATAGATAAGATATTATAACTCAAATTTAAATGATGTTAAAATATGATAATAAAGTTATGTAATAGTGTTATGTAAGATATATCAAGTGTACTTTGTTACTTTAGTATTTTTTGGTAAAATATGATATAGCAAGATATAAAGGGATGGCCTTTAAAATAGTTCATTATGCCTTACTTAAATTATCTATTTTTGTAAGTAAGGTCGTTACTCGTTAGACAATCATAAAACATGGTTCCTTAAAAGCAGCTTATGTACACGATTCTTTTGCCGAATTTAAATTATCTATTTTTGTGAGTAAGGTCGTTACTCGTTAGACAATCTTAAAACATGGTTCCTTAAAAGCAGCTTATGTACACGATTCTTTTGCCGAATTTATTCCACATCTATCTCATGTAGGTATGGATGATGCTTGCGATGATGAATAAATTAGTTATTATTAATTTATTATAATATCATCCATTAAAAATATTCCATCAGTCATTGAATTTTTTTACTTTTTTTTGTTTTGACTTTAAAAATGATGATAATTTTTTTTGGGACAGCGAATATGTTTTGCTGATTGAGTGCGATGTATCGTGTTCTTTATATTTATCTTTTGGAGTGTCATAGATTACATACTATCGGTATCGGTCTGGTAATATATTTTGTATAATACCAAATATATATATTAATCAATAATGACAACGACAGATAACTGCTTTTTTGTTAAATTTTTAGGTTTCCGTAGTTACACAACAAGGAACCCTTAATTTCGCTATGTCCGTCTGTCCGCGGTTATGCTCGGAGACCCTAGGTGCTACAAATCTGTAATTTGACATAGTTATAGATATTAATAACGCCTAGAAAACTGTGAAATAAAATCTTAAAAAACATTTTTATTTTGGATACTTCTCATACAAGTAAATGGAGGATGATTTTTTTACCCGTTTATTCCATTATGTGTGTTGGATACGTCTTTCAAAAACATTGGGGGTGTGGAAGAACATCTTTTCGATTCAGGGGTCCGTATGTGAAATATTTAGTACCTTTAAAATGGTATCTTTCATTAATGTGTCCCTCCCCCTCTACCAACTAAACAGCTGTTTTTAGAAATGTGAAAAGTATACACAATAGACATATAATGAAGTTAAAAGGAAAACAAAAAGTTAAAAGAATTAATAAGTTAACGAGTAATAGTCGACCAACTTATAAAATTGCATTTAGATTAGTACAAATTTCGTAACAACTCCATAGAAAATGATCAAAAACTAGCTGCATTAATAACTTTGTAATGTTATTGTAAACTGTTAAAAATAAACATTTTATGAAGAAAACGACTTATAATATGCATTACTACAATTAGCTTGACGTTTTCATTTGCGGGATAGATAGTGTATTATTATCAAAATCCATAAGTTTTTTTTAATCTTTTTTGAATACCACTCCCTATAAAGCTGATTTGAAAATAAGTCCTTCAGTTACCATCTTCCTATTTGGGCCCATTTTTAGGCATTATAGCGGTCAAACCGCGAACTCACTTATTAAGCCCGCTTTTCACTATGGGATATAATATAATATATATTACATCTCGAGATATAAATTAATATCGCTCACCATACATTTCATATGGAACCGTTTACACTGAGCTATAATATATATTACATCTCAAGCTATAAATATTTTTTCGATCGACCGAGCGATATTTTCATATTATATTTCGCCCCCTGTACCCCGCACACCATTCCGCGCCCCCGCAGTACGGTGTACGGGGTAAAGGGGGGTAATCCAATGACCAATCACGAACGCATACTGGTTAAAAGATATATCTCACAGTGTGAAAGCCAATCGCGGGATATAATTTATATTTCGGGATATAATATATATTATATCCCATAGTGAAAAGCCAGCCTTATGCTCATTATCAAGGAAGCCTACATATTGTGACCGCCAACTACGGAACCCTACCTCTACAATGTGCGTGGCTCGACACGCACTTGGCCAGTTTTTTTGTTTCAAAATAGTTTATAATTATAATCTTCTAATATTATTTATATAAAAGAGACTTCTATACATATATCTATATAAAAGAGGATGTGCTGAGTGACTGACTGAGTGGCGGGTGAAATAGCGTTAAAATAAAAAAAATAAACATTAGAAAAGAGTTTATTAAAATTAAAGTTGAAATATTGTTTGAAATTCTGCCATGTTTTATTATATCTTTGACAATTCTATTGTAAGCTTTAGAATATAAATTCAGTAAAACCTATTTAAGGATTTTTGGATATTCCAGCACTAACGTTAAAATAGAGGATTATTATAAAATTGTAAACTATTTTGATGCGGTTTTCGTTTTATCAATATATTCCTATTTGTACACCAATACACATTGACACAAAAATAAAATAATATAAATAAAAACAAGCGATATTGCAAGCGCTTTCTTCCAGACATGATGACACAGTATGATGGGAATTGTAAGTGTTCCAAGTAATAAGCCTTGAGTAGATTTTTAAAGGAAGAAAAGAATTGAGCACAGCGAATATGTAGAGTGAAAGAGTTCCCCAAGCGTACAACTGTAACAGAAAATAATATATTGAAGAAGATAGATGAACATACGAAAGTAGGAAGAGGCAGATTGTTTGATCTGTTTTCATTATTCGAAAATCCTTAGTCTAACTTAAAATCTGCGATCATTATCATTTCGAAATATGAGAAAGTTTCCATGTGATAGATTGAGCTCTCGGTATAATCATTATCATTCATGTATACAGCAATACGGTCTATCAGTTATCACCACCTGATAACAGATATTAACTCTCGTTAAATATTACAACGGTCAACCATCCCAGACTTCATTTAAGTCACGAACGCGCCGATATGGCTAGGCCCTCCAGGCAAACTCACTTCAGCTTTCCGTTCTTCACAAGTCCACTGCTGAACATAGTCCTCCCGTATTTCGTAATAAGTGTGGGTCATGATTGTAAGAATACTATAACGTGGACGCGGGTACCACCGCGGGGCGAAAAGCTAGTGCTATAATAAAAAAGCTACTAACCGCCACTATCCACCTATGTAATGGTAAGTTAAGTCTTTACATAAGGAAGCTTCAAATAAGGGCCATAGATGCGCCTATGATGCCTACCTTTAATAGCGAAAGTGGTAAAAGGGATCAGCTTATACAGTAGATCTCAGGTTGAAAAGGAAACTTACTATCAATTGTTTTAGAGAACCCAGTGAGTCATTTTCTTGGTTAAATTTTATTAGTTTTGTTTTAAAATGTTAATCATGTTTTGTTACAGTTGGAGCTTCGGTTGTTAACCCTACAGATTTAAAGTTTTTGTATGAGAGCCATGAAAATTTCGTTGCTCTTCCTACTTTTTTCATCCTGCCAGGAATGGTCATGGAATCGCCTGTTGTTGGCAAGTCGATGCCGCCAGGGAAGCACGCGGATTTCACTAATGTAAGTCGACACGATCATACATCGCTAGACTCCGGGTTCACAATGTACGCAAAGTATATGTGCTACACATGTTAAACTGAGACATTTAAAATTTAAATTGAAAAATCTACATCCTAAAAGAAAAATCTTTACTTTTCATAGATATTATCATTTTCACTTGTTTTTTCTATTTATTATGATCATCGTCATCATTAAAGTCCATTACAAGTCCACTGCAGCACACAGGTCTCCCCTAAAGAGAATGCCACAAAATAATTAAATTTACCATTTTATTTAACAAAATTTACCATGATCATTCGTTAACGATGTTTTATTTACCAAGCAGTTTTAGTTTCGCCTAATAATTGACCTTTCCTATCCTAAACCACAGAATAAATAACCTAAACTTACAATGTATAATAAATACACTATAAGCTGCAGAAACATTCTCCTTCTAAAAAAAAATATGAAATTCAAGTAAATAAAATTACTTTTAAATTCAGTCATTACTAAAAACCAATATTCGGTATTTGTGTCTGTAAACTAATAAATAAAAAAAAAGTTATCATAATTTTACACCATTTTTAAATACGCTAACATAATTCCAGATTTTGCATGGAGAGCAATACATTGAATTCTTGGGAGATTTCCCGGGCACTGATGGCCAGTTCACGGTGCGCAATTACGTAGTCGATATTTTGGACAAGGGATCGAGCGCAGTAGCGATTGTTAATAGTAAGTATAATTTGTGGAACATGAAATCATTTTGACATTTAATGAACGTGTTAATTATTTTATAACATGACGACGCTTAGGTTCATTAAGAAGAATCTAGAAGATAAGCATTTTCGGAGTGTGTTATACTACAAGCAAATGTTGTATGTTATATTACAAACAAAAAGCAGCGGTCTGTATGTATAGCAAAGTTTTAAAAATCTAAACAACTATTCAAATCTCGACCTCGTTGTTTACGGAAGACTTAGGAAATCCGATTTTTTAGATTTTTCACTTGTGATCATTTTAGCTCATTTACATCCTTTTCTCAACACTCAAGTTCATATTTTGTCGAAACTATTCTATTGATCTTATTTGAATTACATCATGAACAATTACAAGTGCTAAGTATTAAAACTGCCACATTACAGAATTTTTTTGTAATTTCCATTTTACGCTCTTCCATTGTTACCTACTCAAGTGATTTAAGATATCGTGTTCGTGTTCTGTTTTTGAGTCCGGAATACTAAATAAGTGACCAGTGGCGTAGCTATATAACCAAGGGCCCCGGGGTAAAAATGAAATTGGGGCCCTATTTAAACTAAACTAAATACTTTAAAGGTGCAAAACTACTTCATCATCAGCTCCTTGTCGCCCACTGCAAGGCATAATAAAGCAAAGCTACGTACTACTAAGTATTATGTGTAACGCATAAACTATGACGAAGTAGATTACAGTTAATAATATAGGCAGACAACATAACAGTAGAAGAGCCACACGGCAGCTTTTGCTGTCGAACGAGTAGGCCAGACTAAATGGAGTGACGACCTGGTAAGATATGAAATGAAGAGCTGTAATGAATGGGTGGACCGGCTCGAACCACGTATCACGACCTTACAGACAACCCGCCTGAAGTAGAAGCTTACTTCGCCTGATAAGTGCAGGTTTTCGGAGGCCTAACCCCTCTCCTCCTTAACGTGGTAGTGTAATCAAATATTTCTGTATTATCTGTGTTATTTTATCGCTATCCGTGAATTTCTGCAACATCAGGGGATTTCAATTGAACATTAACAAAGTCCACTTTTACCGTCTGAAGACGACGAAGTCGATCTTGCTCTTTCTAACTGAGACGCAGATGTCCTCTCCGGTCGATACTTCTCCCTATCCGGGGTATAAATTATAACACCTTTGTTCATCGGGCTGGAGTTTGCGTATACGTCAGAGAGGTCATCTGTTCTCGGCGCCTAGGCAGTCTTGAAGGTCAGCGACGACCATCCTCGCTTTTACTGGTGCCTCTATAGGTAATGCCGACACAGACTAACTCATCGACCACGTCCAAATCGCTGCAGACTCCGTGCTACAACAGGTTCCATCTGCAGAGATCGTGATCCTTGGTGATTTTAACGGCCTCCACGCTGAATGGCTTGGTTCTCGTTTAACTAATCATGCGGGAAGATCTGTTTATGAATTTACCTTGGCATATGGTCCGACACAAATGGTTACTTCGCCTACGTGTACTATGCGGGGATCTTGCACCTTCCCTGTTGGACCTTCTGCTGACCTCTCATCCGGGTCGGTCGACGCCCCTCTTGGCTCATTGGACCATTGTCTGATCCGGACTATGGTGCCACTCACACTCCCATCGCGGGTGCGTTCTGCAGATCGCCGCCATCTTTGGCCCTATAGGTTAGCCGATTGGAACAGAACGCAGTTTTTTTGCATCCTTTCCTTGAGGACAGGGCGGGTATGCTTCTCACCGGATGATCCCAACGTGAATCTTTCGTTGATGTGGTAGTTCAGGGAATGGAACTCTTTATTCTATCATCTGTGGTGCACAGCGGTTTACACAGCGCTCGATGCGCTTAGCACTACTCTCTCTAGACGTTAAGTCGAGTGGGCCTGATGGAGTTCCTCCCATTGTGCTGATGACATGTGCCTCCTAGTTGGTACCGGTCGTAACGTGTCTTTTCTAAAACTCTTTCTCCCTAGGTGTAGTCCTGAACTCAAAGAAGACAACTTTAGTGCACCAGATCTCTAAAAATAACCGAAATTCGATCGCTCAGACCTTAACTCTTTCTAATTCATTATTTTGGAGAACAAGTTGGATACTTGTTCTCCAAAATAATGCAAACCCTTGTGTACTGCCAGCGCATAAGGTTGAGGATCACTTACTGAAAAGTGACCGTCAGTACTATTTCCATCGGGGTTCCTCAACTGGTGATCTTCAGGCTTACCTGACTGATAAATCGGCGGAGGCAAAGAGGGCGACCTTGGCCGTTTGGACATAGCGAAGGCCTTCGATCGGGTTTGGCACAAAGCGCTTTTTTCGAAGCTCCCTTCCTATGGGCTTCCCGAGAATTTGTGCAACTAGATCAGCAGTTTTCTTGCAGATTGGAGCAACAAAGTCGTAGTACAAGGTGTATGCTCCATTTACAAGCCTATTTATGCTGGTGTTCCACAAGGCTGTTTCTTTTGCTTATCAATAATATGTTGCAAACTAGTAACGTGTTCTGGTGATGCTTTATACACCGGCTGTACCTACATTTATAGAGAAAACGTCGCCGAAATAAAGTTGTGTCTGAAGTCGAGTCTTTGCCGGATAAGGTCTCGGATTAGGGTGGCTAAATATAATTAATTTCAATGCCCAGAAGACACAAGTTTGCGCGTTTACCACTAAAAGAACCCCTTTGTCGTATCTCCTCAATTTCAGAGCACTGCCCTTGTTACCTAAGTCAGTATCGGAATCTTCGGCCTTGATATATCGTAAAACGTGCATTTTCGTGGTCACTTGGAAGGGAAGGCTGAATTGGCCTCTAAAAAGTCTGGCATGTTCAGCAGAACGGGACAGTATTTTATGCTGGCACACTGATTGCAACTTTACAAGGGGCAGGTTCGACTTAACATGGAATACTATTTTCATCCCTGGGCCGGGGCTCCCTAATACCAGCTCCTTCTACTTGACCGCATCTACCGCAGAGTGGCTCGAGTCGTCTACGACCGACGAAGACGAAAGACGAGACGAAGAGATCTTGCATCCCCTTTGCATTTTCTATCGAATTTACCACGAGGAGTGTTCAGAGGAATTGTTCGGATTAATTCCAGCCACAAAATTTCATCAACGCATTTCACAAATCCACATCATCGGGATATTTGGTGGTCCACTACAGTCGGACCGATACGAATTAGGGACCTGCAAGAAACGAGCTTACTCCTTTTTAAAAAGCCGGCAACGCGCCTGCGATTTCCCTGGTGTTGGTGTATTTGCCAAACGAGAAAATTATTGTTGTGTAATTAATTGTTGTATATTGGACAAACGAGTCGCATGCTCGTCTGTTCCCCTCATCTATATAAAAAAGAATAAAACGAGGTAGAGAATAATCTTTAACAATGTTATGTTTATGTTCTGGAAGTGAGAGTAATTTTTGTGACTTTATTTCGAGCCGTTTGCGGTCAGGGGCCAAAAAGCTAAATATCGAAAATTCTTTATACAACTAGGATAGTACATAATTTTTCGAACATCGTTCTTGGAGGCCGAGGGGCCCCGGGGCCACTGCCCCGCCTAGCCCCTGGGCAACTACGCCACTGTAGGTGACAGCGATGCGTTTGCATTGGAATTACCATGCGTGGCGATTATAAAGAAATCTCCTTGGAGGAGGTTAAAGCTTACTATTATGTAGCTGAATATTGTTTAATGTTCAAAACTAAATTTTGACAGTTGCAATCTTTTTTAGGTGAAATATTCCAAAACAAAAGTTTGGTGTTCCGTACGCAACAGCACATATTCGTTCTGGGCCAGGGCGGCTTTGGTGGACCGCGTAACAGTTCTAAGTCCGTTAATGTTTTACCTGCGCCTAAAAGATCACCAGACGCGATTGTGGAACAACGAACCAGCGAAGATCAAGCGGCTCTTTACAGGTATGTTCATATTTCGAAATCAAGGCAAATCATTACGTACGTAATAATGGGTGTACATACTCGTAAACTGCCAAATATCAAATACATATATAATTCTTCTAGGGCCCAACATGAGCCCTTATGTAATACCGTATGTAAACACACAAACTTTGATGTTTTGTCTGTTTACGTACATGATGCCGGAGAGTGAAGATAACTAGGAGGAATGGATATTCTTTTTACTGGTAATGAGGAATTCATTCATTCATTACATCTTAGAGCTCGGGCTTGACAATGCATTTGCATTTTGATTTTAAATGGAAGATAGGTGGTATGGGTCACAGCAACCACTTACCAACACGTGGAATATATGCTCATTTGTCACCCTTACATTTAAACATATATTTTTTTAATTATTTACAAAAATAAAATTAAGAATTAATTGAAAGATTAACGTTAAAAGACCAAATAAATTGTTATTCTCTCTAACAATTAAATGTAAAGCAATGCAACTTCAAATTTTATTATTTGCTAATATTTATAAAAACTTTTTTGTTTTATTTTTATACCAATTTGTTTAAGCAAGTGAATTATATCAAATACATACTTTTTTTAAAGGTTGTCCGGTGATTTAAACCCACTTCACATCGACCCGAACGTCGCAACGGCCGCTGGACATTCCAAACCCATTCTGCACGGATTGGCCTCACTTGGATTTTCTACACGACACGTTCTTGCTAAGTATGCCTCAAATATTATTAGAAATCGAAAAAGTTGTCCGTTAAATGTATTTACGATTACGATTTCTTTTTTGTGATAATTGGGCAAATCAAACGCGTCAATTTACTCATTATAATTTCTTATATATGAAATATAAGAAATTATAATGGGTAAATTGAAATATTTTGTTTGCGGTTAGTCCACCCATGAAAATGTAACTGTGTACTGACGCTGTAAGATTACCTAATACCCTATATCGTGACCCACATACCGTGGGTGGTCGTAAGAGGCGACAAAGACTAAAACAGGAGGTGGGCAGCAACATTCCTGATAACAACTGAAGAAAAATAAAAACTGCAATTTCCAACCCGCCTACCAAGCGTGGCAACTATAGCAAAATCCCCCCTATAAGGCAATCTCTGGTGGAGGCTTATGTACAGCAGTGGACTTTTATATTCTGTAATATAAAAGTCCACTGCTGAACATAAAACAATAGAATAGATAATAGAAAATGTTTTTGTCTCTTGCCATATCATCATTCATCATTACAGCCTTTCATAAGTCCACTGCTGTACATAGGACTCCCCTAAGGAATGCCACAAAGCACGGTCCTGAGCCACCTGCATCCATCGATTTCCTGCATGTCTTACCAGGTCGTCACTCCATCTCGTGGGGGGTTGCCCTACACTTCGCCTACCGGTACGAGGCTGCCACTCGAGAAACTTGCTTCCCCATCGGTTGTCGGTTCTTCGAGCTATATGGCCGGCCCACTGCCACTTCAGCTTACTAATCCGTCTTGCCATATAAATTAAAAAAATCTTTGTAAACTATGGAACATCCATTACCGGCGAGTTTTCCAAGTTTAGTAAATTAATTCAGGGATTGACAAACTTATATTAAAGAATTTTATTTCTTTAACGTAGATACGGCGGCAACGATCCATCTAACGTCAAAGCTGTTAAGGCACGTTTCGCAAAACCAGTTCTCCCGGGGCAGACACTAATTACAGAAATGTGGGTTGAGGGAAGTCGAGTTCACTTCCAGACTAAGATCAAAGAAACAGGCAATGTTGTCATCTCAGGTAAATTTTTAAATATTTAGCTTGCTTTTATGTAAAGAGGGAAACGTAAATGAAATATAAATACTAAGGAGTGTATTTAAATAACTTTGTTTTCTGCTTATTCTTTTTTAAATACAATAACGGTAAAGCACAGCCTCCTGTTTATAGTGAGTAAGAGAATATTATTATGACATTCCATATGTCTCGGGGAGACAGTGCAGAGGATTGTCAAAGACCCCGCTTTACTTAGCTTTAGCATCGGCTAGTGTCAGTAAGAGATAATAAAGCCACATAAATATAAAAAAATGTAATAAATTTTTTTTTAATTTATGTGCTCTGTGGCTAATTGACCGTGCTGATCATGCATTTGGTGGTGATGCCTTACACTTACATCACGTCTGCAGGTACGGCGGTTTAGCATGTGGTGGCGCTCACAGATTGCTTTTTTATGGCCAGTGTGCTTATTGATGCCTAATCCTTGTGACGTAAATTCACTGTGGCTGGATTTGATCGTATTTTGTAAGGCGTTTACACGCACTGACGACTTCGATCGATGTTTGTGCTTACGCACTACCAAGGGGCCAAGCCCTCTTACTGGTACGCCAGTTATTTTGCTGTGGACTACGGTCCAGTTCCCAACTTAACATCCCCTTTCGGGGGAGCACGTTGGTTCGTCGGCGCTCACGGCACACGACATGTGTGGAGCCGTGTGCCTCCCCCACATTTTTTTTAATATGGGAGAGCAAAGCCTTTATATCTGGTATTTGATATAAATATTGTGAGCCTTTTCCAAGCGATTAATAAATAAAGAACCGATGATATCTCTTCAAAAATGTCTTTCGGTGTATTTTCTTTCTTTATTAGGGATTTTATCACGGCGCGTTGTTAATATGATTCCAATAATTTCCAGATTTGGCTGACATGGTCATGTTTGTTGTTCAATAAATAATTGAACTATGAATGCAAACTTAATTAGCGATTGCTTTTATAATATTACTGAGTGTTGCAACTAGTGACATGAGTAACAAGCTTTCCTCATCGTTAAGTACCTACCCTAGGACGCATACATTTCAGCCGCCCTCATGTATACGCATATATTATTGAGTTGTCACTTGTCCTTATGGCTAACTCATTTTTTTACTAGCTAAAAATTACATACATACATACCCAGAAACAAATATCCTATGGTCGAGTTTAAAAAAAAAGCAATTTCTATAGGTTTGAATACTGATCCTCATAACGTACTTAACGGGAACCGCAGGGTTTTTGTATATATATATATATATATATATATATATATATATATATATATATATATATATATATATATATATATATATATATATATATATATATATGATACAGTCTTCGTTTTTGGAGTTGCTGCTGACTCTTGAGCTGTGCTAGTTTCCGCCACTACACATCTAAGAACGTATAATGCGTGCGAGCATGAAACCTTAGCGAGCTACCTGAGCTTCTCAAGCCGTCTTAGCAAATTTTATCAATGATTTTGGGGAGCAAACCCACTGATCCGAGGAATAGTCACCCGAGGCAAATGTGACATAAATTAAAACTATAATGGATATCTAAATACTTATACTCTGTAAAGATTTTTGACATTGAGAATTCAGTTTCATAACATTAATTATTAAGTGTTTGTTTGTTTGATTTGTTGATTGGTGGTTACAAAAGACTGTTACACTTACCCCATCAATGAGGCCAGTGTGACAGTACGCTTCTTTTTGTAGTGACTTTTTATTAACTGTGGTTTTCGACAAAATTGAAGAGATGATACTATAATGTCAAAATATTTTAAGATCTATAAACGATTAGAACGTCCATTTTTGTGTAACAATGAATTTATCCTCACATGGTGCAAGTTTTCTGAGTAGTTTTAAAAAAATTATGTCTGTCTATAAAATAGTTGAAGCTATGTACTTAACTGTCGGTATGGTATAGCCAATAGCGTAAAAGTTCCTGCGTTGTTCAGTAGATGGAATTTAACTAAAAAAACGTGTTATGCCGCATAATTTGCATTTGTTACATTTGCCCCACTGTAACACTTGCCTCGGATGACCATACTTAACTCTGTAGCTGGCAACAGCTAAACCGTACGATACATATAATTTCCAATATATACTTTTCTCCTTTTAGGCGCCTACGTAGACATGAAGAAAATAATTAAAAGCGATAGTGCTACATCAACACCCAATCAAGAGTCCGCACCATCAGGCGCCATGAAGAGTGATGGGCTTTTTGTTAAAATCAGTGAACAGGTCAAGGCCAATCCAGCTCAAGCCAAGTCAGTTGGAGCTGTTTACCTTTACAATATCACAGAAAATGGAAAGACTGTTAAACAATGGAGTGAGTATTTTAACCGTAGCCCAAATAAAAAAGTAAAAAGCAGATGTTAACTAACTAATTCCATTTATTGGTAACTTGTTAATGTCGAAAATTTGTTATGAACTCATATTTAATCAATTTGCTTGACTTTTCTATATTAATTACAGAAAAAACACTCTTATTGCAGGGTTTTGTTTTTCTCAATCAGACTCCTATTTATACTACTTACTAAACGGGTCACTACGGTCCTAATACATTGCGTATTAAGATGCGGTTAATTCTTTGTAACTTCTTTAGTCGACTGCCAGCGGGCGAGAAGACTAGTTCTTTGTTTTGTAAACCGCGAACGTTGTTTTCGATAATCTAACACTGATTTTGTTTAATATGACTATTAAAACGCTGTCATTATTTATGTACGCAGTTTGTCAACGTGATTTGAAGTATTATTAATTCGTACTTTATTTCGTATTTGTAATACAACAGTGACACATGTTTACCGTGCCAGTTACCTGTCCAGCCGTCGCCCGCGTTGTCTACAGCAACAGCTATCTGAATTGTAGTGGTATACATAGAAGTCTTTGATCTCAATCTTTACTGCGTGAACAATGCTTTTTAATGGTGGCATAAAACCATCTATTATGCCGCCTTCTACCCGAATTGGTAACAGGTAGCAGTGTAAAAGATGCAAAATGTTTAAGATGCGAAAAATTGGTATCGCCATTCCGTCTGTCAAGCGAGGCGATTACGACTAATCCTCTATTATGGGACAAGGCTTGGTGTCTATCAGTGGATCATTTAATGACTGACGAGGAAAACGAGTAGAAATAAACATACTAAAAAGTTTATTTTCATTTTTAATAGTGATTTTTCTATGTTATATTAGAAAATACATGGAGTTACCTTTTACATTAAAACAGATAAATAACGGCTTATTTTTTCAACAGCTTTAGATTTAAAATCTGGCTTGGTCTATGAAGGTCAACCAAAGAGTGGTGGCAAAGCAGATACAACAATGACAGTATCAGACGGTGATCTTATTGAAATTGCTTCAGGAACTCTAAATCCTCAAACTGCATATTTGAAGGGTAAACTCAAGATTTCAGGCAATTTAATGCTTGCTCAGAAACTTGGTCCTTTGTTGAAATCGGGTTCTAAGATATAAATAAAAAGTTATTATGTAAAAGCATAAATTGCTTATTTGGGAATCACATTATGTTATTTAATTAATAGATATAATAAAATATTTACATAGGGTGGAACATTTATTATATTTTTGCTAGTGATGAAAACTTCTAAAGGAAGTATGCATGGGAAAGCAATACATTTTTCATAATATACAGTTTCTCAGTAGTTGACACTAATGTTTACGGTAATATATTACAATAGTTGCCAAGAAATTGTTAATGAATTTTTGATTATTGAATCATATTTTGAAGCTTTATTAAATTAAAGTAATAATTATATAATAAGTTATAGCCATGGATTTCATTGTGGTCACAGTTACAAAGAATATTGGCATAAAATACAGTAGACTACCATAGATGTAATAGACTACTTGGTAAACTTTGTTAATTTTAATCTTCCAGAAATGGGGATTTTAACAACTTTTTTTTTATAAAATAAGTCAACTTCACTGTCCGATTTTCAGACAACAGTAAGAATAGCAATGAACTTAATGTAGTAAATGCTACAGGGAATGTATGTTATATGATAGATCCAGACTACTGAACAGATCTATTAATTGGGTTGATTGGGGGACTATTATTTTATATAGATAAGTGATAAAATAATATATTTTTTATTTTGTTATTCATTCCAGATTATATTTTGTAAAGGTGGAGGAAAATATACCACATTGAAAAAATAATGTTTTTTATTTCTCTAAATTCTTGGTAAAATTTTTCCTTGAAGTAATAAATGAGCTTCTCTTACTTCATATTCCCAAGCAACTTTCATGTCAGGATGCTGACTTAAGTCTATATATTTAGTCGCTTGAACTTCTGGCAGGCCTTTAGTCTTTACTGCTATGCCTATTATACAACAATAATTTCCTGTGGGAAGAAATGAAAAATAAAATTTTTGTAGGTACTAGTTTACTGTAATGTATTTTTTTTAGATATTCTCATGGATGTAGTAAAGCATCCATGATACATAACATTTGTCTGTATTTTTATTGATGTTTATAAGAACCTTTTTTGAAGTTTTTGTATGTGGTAGAGCCATGCTGCAACTATATTAGTAGTATAGTTGTAGCATGAATGGGTCGACTTGACCGGGGAAGGACCACGCTCTCACAGAATATCTGCGTAAAATAGCAGCTTAACGCTGCTGTTTCGTATGGTGAGTGTGGAGAACCGGAGACCCTTTCACTGGAAAAGAGGCATTCCATCTTAGTCCTCACGGGTAACGACGCATCTGCATTTTGATTCTTTATTATATAAATGTAGATGTCTCCATGGGTCACAGCAACCACTTACCATCAGGTGGACTGTGTACTCGTTTGTTACCCTTATTCTATATAAAAAGAAAAAAAAAGTGAAAATAAATATTGGTAGAGCAAATTGGCCTGGATTAGATGAAAAGCTTAATTCGGCTTAATGCTTCCCTTTTTAAGATTTCAATCAGCAATTAATTGGAAATAGTGTGAGAATTGTTTCTACCTTCTAAACCATATCATACTCTATTTTTTTTTAAATTGATTATCTTGTCACCAGTAAATGGAAATGATGCTTTATGATTGGGTGATTCCAGATAGTATCCATATCCAAATTTCTTATGAACTATTTGCTTTTCTTCTAATTACGAAATTTTACTTTAAGGTGTACTAATATGGTTATAAAATATGTTAATAATTTAACATAAGAACATAATGTGTACTGGTGGGCATAAACGTTACTGGTGGGCACAGGCAGGTGTGCTAGTGACTAATAAAAATAATACATACTATTTAAAGAAACTTATGTGATTGTGGCATAAAAAAATCTTTTGCTACTTATCCAGTTTATCAGAGAAAACAACTAAGGTAAATACATTTAAAGATTTGACGCCTCCAATGGACTATTTTTGTTTATTTCATTCAATACAACCTATCAATAGTAGGTACACTACTGAACATAGGTTTTCTTGCTTAGATTTGACATAGTTGCCAAGATTGGCACAGGTAGGTTGGTATTCAAAACCGAAGGACTTAATACTAGCTGTTCCCCGCGACTTCGCCCGCGTGGTGTTATTTTTCGCGGAACCCTAAAATAAAAGTAGCCCAAGTTACTACTCCTTATAACATCAGCTATCTGCCAGTGTGTATAAATATTGACATTAATATATTTATACGATACTTCTATTTAACTTCACTTAATTTTTTTGCCTTCCCGGAACCCCTCCACTAACACTTAATCTTTATGGTATGGTATTAAAGTTCAAATTGACTTAAGTATTATTACGAATCTTTTGTATGGGAATATAGAAAAGTGTTGTTTTTAGACGTTTTCAGGCAATTTTTTAAATTTTTCTCTCCGTAAGAACCATCTTCGTACTTTAAGGAATATTATAAAAAAAGAATTAGCGAAATCGGTTTAGCTGCTCTCGTGATTTGCGCTTAGCAACGCATTCAGCGATTATTTTTATATTATAATATATAATACTAATTGATTAAATGCTGAACTAGATGGTACGCGGCGCGTTGCTAGCGCAGAAGAAATAATTGTGGAAATATTGTTTTAATATTATATTATTTAATTAGGAATGATAAATGATAATACATTAATTGAATTTGAATGATATATGACTTTCCACGTGTGGTGGCGGGCAAGAATACCCACTATCCTATTTCTTCCCTTGGGTGTCGTAAGAGGCGACAGAGGCAAACTGAGGCAGAAGATAGGCGGCAGCAGCGTGTTTCTGAACAGCAAAATAACAATAAAAAACTGCGGTTGCCAACCCGCTCGCCAAGCGTAGCAACTATGGAAATATACCCCCCATGATGAGAGTTACGAAGAGACAACCCTTAGTCCCCGGCGGCCTCGCTATTCCTGGCTACGGTGGCGACCATGGTAACAGTGGGGCAGGGGATGCTAGGAATCTCTGGTCGAGATTCGGTTGCCACCTAAGACGACTCAACCTGACAACATATAACGCGCGCACCCTGAGGACTGACGAGAGGACCCAGGAGCTGAAGAAGAGATAGACAAGTTGCACTGGAATATTATAGGATTATCCGAAGTCCGCAGAGGGGGAGGACACGGTAATCCTCGAATCCGGCAACTTGTTCTATCACGGGCAACCATCTGTCCTAAGGAGGTGTCAGATTTATCTTCCACAAGTCTTCCATTAACAACGTTGTAAAGATTGGGAGTGTGTCGATGTCAGTTGCGTACCTTATACTCAGAATCACCAAACAGTATTTGTTGAAGGTCATACAGGTTTACTTACCAACATAGGCACATTCCGAAGAGGAGGTGGAGAAAATGTATGAGGATATATCTAGAGCCATGCATTTCTCTAAAACCCACTATACGGTGTTTATGGGAGAATTTAACACAAAACTACGCACAAGAGATAACGGTCAGCTGAAGATAGGGAAATTCGGAAAAGGGCAACGGAACCCAAGATGCCAGCAGCTGGCCGACTTCATGGAGAAAGAGGGACTCTTTATGATGAACTCTTTTTTCCAGAAGCGGCCCCACAGGAAGTGGACCTAGTCGAGCCCCGACGGTTCGACAAAAAATGAGATTGACTTCATTATGACGACCAGACGACAACTGTTCAGTGATGTCTCTGTGATCTCGAGGGTGAAAACTGGTAGCGATCACCGAATGGTTAGAGGCACACTGAACCTAAACGTTAAGTTGGAGAGGTCACATCTAATGAAGTCAACGCTCTGTTCCCCTCGTGCTAAGTCCCGAAAACTTTGAGCTAGAGTTACAAAATCGTTTTCAGTGTATAGAAGACTGCAATGCAGTGGACGATATCATCACATAGCAGCAACGTTTCCAGGACATCTCACATTTTGAGTGAGATAGGGAGGTTCTATGGGCAGCTGTACACATTATCGTTCAAGCCACACGCAAGTGTCAATAACGATCCAAGAGCAAGTCTGAGCGAGGTATTAAAATGGCTCTCTGGTACCTTGAAAACAAAAAGATTCTCTGTGTGATAAACTTAGAAATGAGGATATCCACAGTAGAACCAGAGTGACCGACATAGCCCAATGGATTAGTAAGCTGGAGTGGCAATGGGTCCGCCATATAGCTCGAAGAACCAACAACCGATGGGGAAAAAAGGTTCTCGAGTGGCAGCCTCCTACCGGCGGACAAAGTGTGTGACGGGCGACCCCATACTGGACAGAGTGACGACCGGGTAAGTCATGCAGGAAGTCGATACATGCAGGTGGCTCAGGACTGGGCTTTGTGGCATTCCTTGCGGGAGGCCTATGTTCAGCAGTGGACTTATGAATGGCTGTAATGATGATGATGACTGAAATAAATTTGTCAGTAGGATACACACACCACCTTCTGTTAAATTATTCTATGCTAACCTTTGCACAAGTGGAAGCAATAAGTTGATAGCAGCACACAAAATACAAACAAACAAAAATTAGTTTTTATATATTAGAATTTCATTATCAATTAATATATCAATGGCACAAATATTTTATGCTGCCAATCTGCCCATGGAGCATATTTATGACAAACATTTAATGTAAGTAAACTAATAAATACAGCCACCACACATTTTTAAGTAAGTTTTAGAGAAGTCTGCACTGTCTTAATGTGTGTTCAAAGTCTGCACTGCCTTTATGTTCACAAATATTACAATTTCTGATTTTCACACAAAATTATAATTGAAATGGATATTACAATGCCAATGAGTTAGTGACTTTTTTAACAGACTTCAAAATAGGAATTACTCATTTCTATTGTATTTTTTTTATGTGTGTTACATCATAACTTTTTTCTAGATGAACTGATTTCGATGATTGTTTTATTTCAAAGCTGGTGCTCATGTGGTCCCATATAAATTTGATCACAATCTGACCAGTAGTTTTTGTATTTGATTGACTTCAACTACTTTAATGATGTTCTCAAAATTAAATTTAATTGTGGTGACTATTCACTTTACTTTTATTTTATATTTTTATTATTATGGGGAATAGGTAGAAACTGTTTACAATGATGATTGAAAGCTTTTAAGGGGTAAGCTTAGACGAAATATTAGTGGTGAAAGAAATATTTTATGTGGTAGAGCCATGGTGCAGCTATATTATGGTTGTAGCACGAATGGATCGGCTCAACCAGTGTGGAACCATGCTCTCACAGAATACCAGCAAATGACAGTTTAAAGCTGCCATGTTTCATATGGTGAGTGTAGAGAACCGGAGACCCTTTTTACTGGAAACGAGCCACTCCATCTTAGTCCTCAGGGATGAAACGCATCTGCATTTTAATTCTTAATCGAGGATAAATGTATATGTCTATGGGCCACAGCATCCACTAACCATCAGGTGGACTGTGTGCTCATTTGTCATCCTTATTCTATAAAACAAATACAGAATGATAAAAGATTGATCATTTACTTGTAAAAGACCCAGGCAATCTGAATACTATGTTTTATAAATAATTATGAAACAATTATTAGAATTACAAATAGATGAGTTAATTTTGGTGTCTGATTACAGACCAGAGATTTAAAGGTTGAAATATTTTAATGTTTTTGTTACAGACTTCGGAAACCAGGAATGTACTACTCCCAACGAGAGTAAGACATTGAAATCGCTGGATTTAAATCCATAATATGCAGAATACTGTAATTATTGTGTTATAGTTTAAATAAAATGTGGTTTATATGATGCGAATTTCATATAAACAGCATTTTGACTTTATAACGCTTTTTAAGAAATTATAAATTTAATAACAAAGAGATACGCTTGATCAAGTTCAAAAAGTTATCTATTTTGAATTAAAGTGAATACTAAACTTTGCGTAAAGTTGCTTTATCTATTACTCCATCAGCAGATTCACATTTCGTTATTTTAACTCTTCCATAATTGTCTGAGATTATTAATATATTGTTGCCAACTGTTTGTTCAATTGTTCCTTGTAACCATACATCTAACGGTACAGGTTTTTCAATCAGATCTTTACTAAAATATTTCATGGGATTTAACGCCATATTTCCACATAAATAAGCTAATTATCACAAAACATTAGTACATATTATTTTTATAGAGTTTGGGAACATCACAGAAAATACAGAAAATTACAACTTGGCCAAACAAAACAAATAAAGTTGTTGTTGTTTTTATTATTCGCTCGAAAGAGCAGGCAAAGGAACTACGCCATACAGCCTCGTCTTTTTTATTTTGAATATATGGAATTTCACTGCTTCACCAATATGTTGATGCGTCACATTGTGCAGCCCTTGGGAGATTTTGACGGCAACTTGAGCTAGCAGACAGCTGATAGTTGGCGATGGTATCTAAAGGCACCTATGCAAACAAACAGCTTATCTTGAGAATCCATCACCATCAGAGCACTTGTTTCACCGTTTCCACTAATAGTTCACATGCGTAGACAGTTAATACATAAAATCACACCACTTTTACATATCAAATTCCACTTGAAACTATTATTTAAACTATAATACAGGAGCAGCAAACCGCGGCTGGTCAAGTTCCCGCCAAAACTCAAAACAAATAAAGCGCATGACATGACAGATGACACTGACAGGACTAGAGGTGGGCGATGCAAACCGTGTACTGATTCGAAATCTATATATTGGTACAATATCTAAAAACCGCTTACTGGTTCGTTCTAAAACTATGTATTTCAAAATCTGATATTTGCGTACCACCGTTATGCCTGTATGGCTTCGCATCGTTCGGTGGCTAGATTCGACGTGTGCGACAGAGCGCGAGCAATATAGGTATTATATACTGATTCTTTCGAAAACTATGTATTACAAAATCTGATATTATTTAATATTGCATTCTTTATTTTACGACCAATATTTTAAAATGGGGGTGGTTTTTTAGATAATTATTAGTTTCTTTAAAAACATCACCAAAATATCTAACAATGGCAAATAAAGAAAAAAGTTGATCTATACTGCTGAATAGGTCAACTTTTTTCTTGCTATATTTTTATACTATCTATGTGTTATCCACTTAATAACCTCGGTATTTTATTTTGTGGTGAGGTCCTTTCTGCACGTGGCACTTGATTATTGAAACAAGTTTTTTATGACCCACTCTGCAGAGTAAGTACGAGACTGTATTTTTAGACGCCCGCACCTTGCTTCTAGAATTAAAGGATAAGTATCAATATAAGATTCACCAGTTTCACCACTTTCGTTACTCACTTCCTTTTCACGTCCTTTAAACAGGCTCTTTATTTTTAATAATTGTGCACTAACATCACCTTCACAATTAAAAAATGAGCGGTAAAATTTAACCAATCCTGTAATTAATAAAGATTTAAAAGCATTCATGAAATTGTGGCAAGTCAGGTTATTGTCCCTAAAATTGTATGATCTTATTTGAATGAAAAAGTTTTCGAGTCTCATAATTTTTGTTTTTCTTGGTCAAAAACTGCCACAATTTCTTAGATATTTTTAAGGTACTTATTCATTTCCTTATACTGGGCACTGTACATTCATGACCATTTCGATTAATAAATTTTATATTTTGTAGTTTCAACAAAGCTTGCTACCAGAATGCCAAAATTCTTAAATCTTTCCATTTTGTTTTTTTATTTATCACTGCTTAAATGATACTATTTCAGCAGTATTTTTCTGTGTTATGCATATCAAATCATTCATTTGGATATTAAATAAACACGTTATAGTTACTGGATTAAATGTTATAAATGATGCGCTATATCGTTGCTATGTGATTTAGAGTTCCGACCAGTTCCGACAGCCCGAAGTATATGCAACCCCACAGCAACCCCAATTAAGGAGTAGAAAACCGAAAGGCTGTCTTCTTTCCACCTGTGTTTGCAGCTATTAAGATTTATTTCAACCAGATCCGGGTCAACAAGCTGCTAAGTGGCATTTTGTACCACCAGTCCATATATGGCAGCAGTACTCTGTTCTCAATTTGTCTAATTCCGGGTGGTACGTGGATAATGCGATAGAAAATCCAATGGGATGCAACATCTCTTCGGAGTGTCAGTGAATCGAGCCGATCAGACAGAACTCAGACGATTCGAGCCACTCTTCGCTGGATGCAGTCAATTGAAAGGAACTGGCACTGGAGTACCCCAAAGTTGAGAATTTACAGTACTCGCACGGTTTAACGGCATGAAATACTGTCTCGCTTTGCTGCGCACACCAAGCTTTTTAGAGGCCATGAAAGGGACGGAGATTAAATGAACTATATTACTTTTATTTATTAACTAGCAGTTCCCCGCGACTTCGCCCGCCTGTAATTTAGGTTATTAATTTTGTTGCGCGGAACCCTAATTCTTTTTCTAAAACAAAAGTAGCCTTAGTTACTCCTTATAACATCAGCTGTCTGCCAGTAAAAGTCACATCAAAATCGGTCCAGCCGTTTTGGAGATTAGCCGGAACAAACAGAAAGACAGGCAGACAGACAGACAAAAAATTTAAAAATTGTGTTTTTGTTATAATTACCATAATTAATATATATATTTTCATACGCATTTAGTGACAAGCTGTTATTTTGACGTTACTAACAGACACTCCAATTTTATTTATTTGTATAGATTAATTAATTCATTTGCTTTTTTTGTATGTATGTTACATGAGACACTGTTAAATACTGAGTATTACATACTAAGTCCTTAACACGCAAATTTATTTATTCTTAGAAATTATAGTTATACAAAATTAACACGTCAAAATCAATTATTAATAAATCATTAAATCAGCAACAACAAACAATCCATCCAATTATATACTAAAGATATCAAAAGTGTAATTACAAACACATTTATAATTAACAATTACATACATACATACATAAACACTCACGCCTGTCACCCAGAGGGGTAGGCAGAGACTACGGACTTCCATTTGGCGCGATCCTGACACACCTTTCTCGCCTCTTTCACATCCATATATCTACGCATACACGCTCGTCGGTTAAGGGTACTCCTAATCTGGCCCATTTTCAATGTATCGCCGATCTGGTCGATAATCTGTATGGTAGTGAAAGTTGGGTCTGGCAGAAGAAGCATGAGAGTAGAATAAATGCTGTAGAAATGCGTTCCTTAAGGAGTATGCTAGGGCTGAATCTGAATGACAGGGTGAGAAATAGTGTAATAAGAGAAAAGTGTGGTTTGCAAGATGACGTTGTGACAAGGATTAAGAAAGGAATGCTTCGGTGGTTTGGTCACGTAGAAAGAATGAACGAGGAAAGAGTGACAAAGCAAATTTATGTTGCAGAAGTGAACGGCAGGGTCGGGAAGGGACGCCCTAGACGAAGGTTTAATTAACAATTAAGAAAATTTAATTAAACAACATTATATACCACGTCAGTTAATAACAAAAAAATGTCAATTTGAGCTATAGAACTATAAAAGTTGTCATCAGGAATTTAAAAACTCGTTTACCGAGTAAAATGTATTTTGAAGAAGCCACTGCTATAATTTTTTTAAATGTTTGTATAGGAAGATCTTTACTTGTGTATGATATTTTATTTTTATTATTTTTATATATTTTTATTTATATTTTATTATTATATATTGTTTTACCTATCCAGTAACAACTTTTGCTAAAGCGTTTACTTTTTGATATTTCCCTAATTAGTATCCGATCTGGGATTCTCGTGTTCATGGATGCTTCTTTATTAAGTTTATAAAAACTCTTCCCGTGTGGTTTTACAAACTTAGCAACGTATATAAATACAAACAAGGCTCGGGTAAGATTCCCTGTGTATTAAAAGAGGTTTAAAATGTCTTCGATAGACTAACTGAGACTTAGGCGCTGCGCAAACCTAGACACTTTTGTGTCTTGTATGGGATACAAGCTAAAAATGAATATTTTATTTTCATGTTATCAATATGAAATCAGCCATTCCTTTCGCATACGCAGACAATTTTTGTGTCCAGTTGCTTCCACTTGACACATACCGCCCGCCAATCAAAAAGTGTCCGGTGTAGGTAACTGGAAACTTTAAGTTGTCAAATGAAGACACAAGCAACATAAAGCAAATTTCTTACAATTGTAGCGCGCTGACATTGACGTGGTTAATTTTTCTGTAAATATTGACGGCAATGACTTCTACGTCAACGTGTAATCAACACAACAAGCAAAGGTAATGTTCCTCCATCGACATCTAATGTGAAACTGATGGAAAACAAGCAAAGAATTGTTCAACCAGTGTCCAGAAGTGGCAACCGGCGACTGTGTCTGATTGCTGCTACCGGACACAGCGACTACTGTTGCTGAGTGATGAGTGCCGTGTCGGCAACAAAAAATGTCCACGTTTGCGCAGCGCGTAATTGGACTGTATGATTTCACGGTTCTATACAAATATATATGGGACAACTAATAAACAATTTATTTAACTATTTACAATATTGCGGCAGTACTATTAATTAATACAAAATATAATAGGGAGCACTAGAAGAATTTTCTTGATTTCTTCTTTCTTCTCTGTCGCTTGGGAATCGAATGACTTCTGGTGGCCAGATGCTCTTCTTTTATTCGCATGGTGGGGGTCTCGCAGTAGGTTGTCTCCCACGCGGGGTCGGGGTGCGGAGTGTGCGGGGCATGACGGGCCATACGGGGGCGACGCGACGGTGCGGCGGCTAGCTCCCCTCGTTGTCCGTAACATTCTCCCCCGGCGTAGTCCTCGAGCCTATTCTTCCTTCGGGAGGACGGCGATTTTCCCCACCGGTCTTTTGAGTAAACCGCCTCGCGTCCTTACTTCTACGTTACGCACCACGCCGTCAGGTCTGGGAAAGATCTTGGTGACGACTCCTCTGGGCCATACGTACCTAGGAAGGTTGGCGTCCACGATCACGACTAGGTCGTCTTCTTTTACTTCACCTCGCTGGGCGTTCCATGATTCACATCGTGGGACCATTGTAGGTAAATGTTCCCGCAACAAGCGTTTCCAATACTCGTTGGCCAGTCCTTGCGCTGCCCTCCATGTTCGTCGATCCGCTGATGAGCACGTTGCGGTGATAGGTATGTTCGATGGC